AAAAAAAAAAAAAAAAAAAAAAAACCTGTGACGAGAAAAGAAAAGGAAAAAAAGAATACCGCGTAGCCGTCGTGTTGGAACTACCTTCCGGCCAATTTCACTGGAACTCTGGAACCTTCTTTTGCCTCGCAAAGGCTGACTTATGCCCCAAGACATTACCAAACCTATAAATACACGCCTCTTTTTATTCCTTTTCAATCCATAAATCTTAATTCATTCACCACTTTCGTTCTTTCAACCCCATTCATGGCTTCAGGGGGAACAGAAGCTTTCCCAGATTTGGGTAAACACTGTCAGCATCACGATTGCAACCAGCTTGATTTTCTTCCTTTCACCTGCCACGGTTGCCAACAGGTATTCTAATTCTTCCTTTTTCTTCCTCAAAAATATATTATGTTTGATTTTTTCTAGTTTAATTTCACTTTTTATGTCATCATAAGAATTTTATATTTATGATAAAAAATTTAAAGCATAAATTACTTTTTTCTATCATTGAATCATGAATTACCATGTAGGATAAGATGGTTGTTGCTTTCTTTTCTTGCAAGTTTATCAAAAGTGAGAATTTATTGTAAATTACGATGAAATGATTGTAAATAGTCGGGTTTGAATTTTTTTACGTAGCTTTTTTATCCAGTTAAATCTCAATCTTTTGTTAAAATTAATAGAAAGAATTTTTAAATAATAATAAAAAAGAAAATATGGAGTCTTGATGGTAAAACCTATTTTGTGAAAATCTCATGAGAATCGATTCTCATAAATAATCACACGGGTGCAATGGCAGGTGTTTTGTTTGGAACATAGATCCTACAAGTCCCACGCGTGCCCGAAATCCGACCACAACAGCAGGAAGGTGGTTGTTTGCGAAGCGTGTTCCATGTCCATTGAGACCACCGGCCACGTGGCACAAGACGAGGTGGCAATCTTGGAGAGCCACCTCAAGTCTGGTAACTGCGACCCCACCAAGAAGAAGAAACCCATTTGCCCTGTCAAACGCTGCAAGGGGGTTTTGACGTTTTCCAACACCAGCACATGTAAAACTTGCCACATCAAAGTGTGCCTCAAGCACCGTTTCCCTGCTGATCATGCTTGTAGCAGAGGAGCTTCAGCTTCTTCCTCGTCTTCTGTGGATAATGGTCGGTGGAACAATCGGTTCTTGGCTGCTCTGGCTTCAAGAACTGGACAAGACTGTGCCAACCCTGCTAAATCTCGTTCTACTTCTACTCCTAGCACTCCTTCTGTTAAGGCATATTGAATGATAATTGCTTTGTGTTGTATGTTATGATTCTTGTGTTATTTGATGGCAATGTAACGTTGCTTTTTTAGTGCAATTTGAGCGCTCAAATTGCATCCATAAACTACAATATTGGAATCCTTTGTATTATAATTTGTTTTGATTTAGATCTTATATGTCGTATGGCACACATTAATGTTTTACACACAAAATAAGGTCATCGATAGAGATCACCTTTGCAATGTACATTCTTGTTGTTAAAGACATACTATAAATATTTCCTTGTCATGCATATTATTGATGGTTGTCAACTTTGTTAATGGTTGTCTTGTTTTCCTGGTCATTTAGTGATAAGAGAATAAGAGAAATGTTAACAACATTCACTCAAACACTGTCTTTATTAATATTTTCTCTACTATTAGTTGAGTTGAAGATCATAGCTGCATAAACATAAACAAAGATACAAGGCTAATATTGGAGGTGTATAGACAGGTCTCTAATATTGGCTGGCATTAACAACTAGAACTATTAGTTGCTAATATTTTCGCTAGCATTTCTCTAGGAGTAAAGATACGAAGCTAGTTAAAACATAGCTGCATTTTAGCATCATGAAGAGGTGAATGAGATTTGTAATACATAATACGCTAGAGATGCAATTAGAAAAATTACATCTGATTTTCGGTAAATACAAATATATGACCTACATATTGTTACACCTTTCTTTTCACTTGTCTTTCAAAACATACAGCCTGTAACAACTAACAAGTAACAATACACAATAACCTGCGTGTTACATGTTGGCTGTTGATTCTTTAATTTCATCCAAGGTGATAGTCTGCAAAAGGCAAGAAGACGAATTAGTTTAGGAGGAAAAGGAAAATAGTATGATCTAACCAAACTGTGTATGTACTATATGAATTATGAAGGAGCAAAACCATATAGCACTTGCAGCAAAATCAAAGTTTGAACAAATTGAAATAAGGAATTACCTGTTCGTCGCCAGCAAAATCGTTATCAGGAGTGAGAAATAGCATGCAATGGCATTCCTTCCTATCAAATAAAATCACGAGTTGTAAATCAATATCCAGGATGAAAATCAATTACCTGATGTGTAGAAAATCATTGATATTGTTATGTGGGCTCATCCATATTTCTGAAAAAATATAAAATAAGAAAGGCACTCAGGTTTCAAACCTGATTACAATGTCCCCACAACAGTTTTTGCTTGATTTTATTACGAGCTGCCTCTTGAACAAGTAGGTATTTACGAGATAAATAAGATCATGTCTATGATGTTCTGTGATACGGTTGTTTTAAGTGTAAATTGTAATTCTCTGAAATATAGAAGGCTAAACAAAAATTTCATATTGGAAAAAAGTCATCAAGGGTCTAGTTTTTTCTATTATGTATACTTCTTAAAGGGTATAGACAGGTCTCTAGCTTCTTGTATAATTAATTATAAATTTATAATCAATGCATAAATCTGCCAAGAATGATATATATGATGACTTCAAAACATTATCAAAACATATGCTTGTATTGTAATAAAACTCGGTCATTACAAAAGGAGGAGCTTCAAACTTGATAACCTGAGATCAAAGGCATATTTTATCCAAGTATTAATACCAGATATGCATACCTCTCTCTCATGGGAACACAAGGGCAATTCCAAAATCCTTGGGCAACCTCGGCAGCTTTATCGTCATAATGCCTAAAATACAATGATTTTGGGCTTAGACTTGGAAAGATAGAAGACATGACTACTGATCAAACTATGGAGCCACACAGCCAGAATTATAGTATGAAGACAAATTCTGCTTGACAAGCTAAAAGAACAAGTATCTACCGGCAAGGGCACAGTGGTGCGCCCAATGAATCTTTATGGTCAGCCAATCCCTGTTTCAAAATACAAATAATATAAGGAAGAAAGGTTAATTAATTAATCAAGAAAATAACTACCTCCAATATTAGTTTTATGCATGTATGGACGGACACATGTATGTTCATTTTCCTCTGTCATCTTATGAATTGAAGTATGTGTTATTACTGGAATAATATATACCGCATCAACTCTGACCGAGAAACTCTTTTCCAGACTACGTGTAACTTCATTCCAACAGGTCAACTTGGTTGTTCAAAATTCCCTTCATTTTCTTAATTTTCATTTTTCAGAAAGCTTTAATGTGACATCTCCACAATCTGGGAAACTCATTTTCAGACTACATATAACTTCATCGCAACATGTCAATCTTGGTTGTTCAAATGCGTTTTTCCTTCATTTTCCTAATTTGCCTTATCCGAAAGCCTTATTTATATGACCACTATCAAAATGTACCACAATTTTCTCAATTAGTTTTCAACGGTACAGATTTTAACTTAGAAATGTGATATTATGTACTAACAGTAATGAATCAGGCTAGACAACTTATTTAGCTGTCTATTCCTAATATTCAACATTTCAACCATGGAATCTTCTGAATTTCAATTCCAAATGTATTTTAGTCATTTTCCCATCCAAGGATTCTGCCAACCACATGATCAGTTGGGCAAGGCAACTATAAACATATAAAAGTTGAATTTTCCAAACAAAAAAGATGAAAACAATTCAATCAGATGCATTGAACTTTGATAATATTTTAATGAACTATTGTGAGAAGATGCTTTTTCTGTCTTAGACCCTTAATATTTGGAAATTAAATTTGACTTTGATTAATCTGTGTCGAGTCAGGTGGACCTAATTAAGGGCACAAAGTGTCTATTTTTTCTATTCACAAGACCTGAATTAGAGACCTTATTTAAGAGGAACCAAGCTCCTTGCCACTTGGACCAACAAGGACTAGTTGAGAAGATGCTTTTGGGATTAATAATTTAATAGAAAATATCGAGTTTTAGTAATTAAATGCCAAAAGCCTTCTACATAAAAAGCATGTAGTAACAGAAGTCAGTGTGATTAAATATTGGTTATTGTGCACAATAACGCTATTGCATAGCAGGTTTCACCGGAAACACAATCACGACACAATCATAGCAGGTTGGCCTCTGTATTAAAGTAGAAAAGCAAGAAAAAAGAAATACTCAAAGACAGGGACACAAAGGTCTCAAATGCCAACAGAACTCCTAGCCTCCTCCCAACTCACTCAAGAATTGCCTAGTTCCCTTGTTCCCCCCCACAGCCCCACTTCCTGACATTTCCCACACTTTGGTGATGATACCAGAATCATTTCCCCCTCCAATCAACACATGCCAGCTTGCCTGACAGTAAAACCTCAAGAGCCTCCTCTTTCCTTTTCTCTGCTGTGCAGAACTTTTCTCCAAGTCCCTCTTTATTTCCCCCTCTCCTCTACATGCAACCCACCAGCCCAGTCTGCTCCTTTGGCCCATTCCTCTCTTTTGTAGATAGCCCATGTTGCTTCTACTTCCTACTGTACGGGGCTAAGGGTGTGTGACTAAGAAAAGAAAAGAAAAGCAAATGCAACTTGTAAACCAAAAAAATATAAAATCACCCTAAAAAGTCTTGATCTAAAACAGGCAATCAAGTGCATATAAAAGAAGTAAGCTGAGGTTGGTTTTCTAAAATACAAAATCAACCAATCTCCTTTTCTCTGAACAATTTCTTCTTAATCGAAAAGAAAACATAATTATCTCTGCAATATGCACAAAATTTACTAAGCTAGTAGCTTATCATTTTCCATTAAAAACTTTAAATTAGGTCTAACCATCATTTCAATTCTTGCATAATCTTACAAGACCCCAAAAACCCAATCAGAAACATACTAAAAACGTAATATTTAAGACCAAGCTTCAGTTTTCCAAGCAAGCTAAGATTGACACCTCCCAGCATTTTCATCGTAAGTAATTTAAGTATACATAACCTCTGCATTCCCAAATGTTTCAAATTGGATAGGTGGGGAATTGGAGGGGTGGGGACCTTCCTCATGGTAATTGCTTGACAAGAAAACCTAGTATTCATTACCAACTTCTGGTTTCTCTAACAAGTAACATGATGGTCCTCCTGGCCTGATTAGTTATGAATTATGATGATTAGGTAAGGTGTGGGGGCCTTGATGGCTGGGAGGAGGGAGGACTTTGTTGTAGACAGGGAGGGGAGTATAGGGGAAGAGGGGGGAAATCAGTCATTGAGAACACAGCATAAGGCTTGAGCAAGGAACTAGCGATTCCTAGATTATTTTCTGTTAATTTTCCTTTTATGTTTTTGATACTTGGATATCACTGTTCATGCTATAGTGAAGGTTATTACACTGGTTTTTCAATTCATTCCTAAGACTGTAAAGCAGTGTTATTACTGTTTGATTGTTTATATCAGAAGCACATAGTATACATCTATATGTACAATGCATTTAATATGTTACTAAAACAGGTATAGATCCCACAAAGAAAGCTTAAATTCAAATAGAGACGAACCCTTTAAAAATTTCTCAGTTATTTTAGTTTACTATAAAATGCAACAATTCCAACAACAACGAACCTCCCTTGACTTTCACTTCTTACAAAACTGAAAACTGCATAACTTCCTGAAATTACAGTACTGACTGCTCCAAGATTCATATCACCAAATAAAATCTAATGTAGCATCAAACAATTAAATTGCTATTTCGCAATGCCCTTACTCAAACTAAAAGGGAAACTACGTATTTGAAAAAATTAAAATTCATTTTAAGAAAATAATTATATGCCATAGATAGAGGACGTACCTTGATAACAACAGAAGTGACTCCCTTGTCAACACAAAAGTATGTTCCTGATTTACGGGCGTATTGCTCTGAGAACTTCCTCATAATTTCAACGGATTTATCCGAAGGTTCCGCTGAAAAAACAAGAAAACTCAATGTTAACAAATCACCCAATTGAAAGCACAACGACTACAAAATTAGGCCAACGAAAACTAACATTCAATAAAAAGAAAATAAAACAAATAAAATATGGTGCATAATTTCCAATTTGAAAACAGAAAAAAAAAAAAAAAAAAAAAGGGGCAAAAATTTCCAATTTAAAAAAAAAAAAAAAAAAAAAGGGGCAAAAATTTCCAATTTAAAAAAAAAAAAAAAAAAAAACTAATTTATTATCTATTCTTATAAACACCTTCAGAGTTTAGTTTACACATAACACATGCAATGCATGTGGAACTGACAACCTTTTATTCTACCCGTTCCAAGTTCTGTCAAAAACGAAAAAGCTTTCAAATTTGACAAACACGAACCTTGACACCAAAACCCAATTCACGAGTTACAAAATTGATCTTAGTGACACAGGACAAAAAGGGATGAATAAAAAAAAACTTCGAAAATTTCAGGACTTGGTTAGAGAGCATTTGCACAAACACCTTATGAATGTCAGAATGGTGAAAATAGATACAAGAGACAATTTGGGGGAACAGAAGCACCCAATTGTAGCTTTGAAAATCGAATCGAAACCAATTGGGGATCAAGGAAAACGGATAACAACTCTACCTTGGGCTCGGACGACGAAGGGATTGCGGTGGCGGCGGAAAGGGGTTGCGACGGAGGAAACGGCGACGGAGAAGGAGGAAGCTTGGGCGGTCATTGCCGGAGAGTTTGTTCAGCTACAGAAGCGAATGGTTTGTGTGTGGTTCCCAGATTGTGTGAGAAAGAAAGACCGAAACAAACAACACCTGTGTTGTGTGTTCTGCGTTTTACATGTTTTTATCTTTATTATTTTTGACCTTTTTATTTTATGTTTTGGTCCATGCACCCAAGAATATTGATTAATTACGACACACTTTTACAGCTTAATTAATCAACTTGAATTTCAACTCTTATAAATATTATTGGTATAAAATATTACAACAATAAAAATTGAATTTATTTATTTAATAATAATATTATTATTATTATTATACCGACTTTACTAATTTTTTTATAGTAGTTTTGTATCAAAATTATGTTCCGTGAGATAAATTATTACATAGTTTATAATTACTATAATTTTGATTAATCTTCGAAAATATTATTATAATTGAGGGTTATTAACTTTTTTTTTTTATAAATTAAAATCTTATTATATGTCACGTAAAGACATAGACACAACATTATCTAAACCCATGTAATACATATTTGGTTATTTTAAATTTGTTTGAAAGCGAAAAAGGATATAAATTTGGGGTTATCATATATATTATAATGGAATAATAAAAGTTGCAGCAGTGAGTGGAAGCCACTCATTGCAAAAAATATCTAGATGGTTTCTGACTTGACGTTGAAGTTTGTAGTTGCAACCATAAATCTTTGGCTCTCTTCATCTTCTTATCCACACAATTCCACCCGTCAGCTTCAGGATTTGGGAGGGTTTTAGATGAATCTGAAACCTGAATTGATTTCTTTATTTGAGATGGATGCATGATTAATTTACTCAGGATAATAACATCTGAGTACACGTCTTGTGGCAAACATTAATTGGCTCTAGCTTTGGATCAAACGGCTAAGGGCCAAATTTTTGTTGGGTCCGGTATATTCTACATTTTGGGCCTAATCAATATGTCTATTATAAAATCTACTATGAGGGAATTTCTTCCTATATTATATATTCTCACATAAACTCATTAATATTTTTTAAAAGATTTAAATATGTTCTTAATCCGATAAAAATAGTCTGTTTTAATTTTTTTAAATTTTTATTTTATTTTTTTAACATTTTGAAACATTAATTTTAGTTCTTATAAATATTTTTAATTTATATAAAATGAATAAATTTTGATATTTGTAAAAACATTTTTTTATATTTTTATTTTTATAAAATATAAAATTATTAGTTTTTTATCCTTGAAGATAATTTTAAGGTATATAAATAATAAACTCTAAGAATCTATGAAACTTTTTAGAGGTGTTATACACTAATATAGTATCACTAATTGTTGTGAGTTTCACCTGAGATAATCACTCACTAGTGCAAAAAACACTTTCTATGACGGGGATTTTATGTCGAGTAAAATTCACATGTAATAGAAAGTGATGCAGTGACAAAATTGTAAATGTGACAAATTTTTCTATAATGGATGTTAATCCACACATCATAAAAAGAGTTTTCTATGTTGAGTGGATTAACATCCATCATGGAATCTGTTGGAAATTGTCAACTTTCTAGTTGATCCTCAACCTTTGTGTGATGGGAGTTGACTAACTCAACATAAAAAAGTTATTTCTATGTCAAGTTAGTCAACATTTGTTATCAAATATGTTGGGTCTCAACCTTTCTATGATAGGTATTGTATAATCCAACATGGAAAGACTTTTATTTATAGCCCAAAGTATGAATACACTTTCATGCTCTCATTCTTCTTCTTCTTCTTCTTTCTCTATGATGTTTGTCATTGTTGCATAACAACCTATGACACCATTTTCGATGACTTCAACCACTCCTCGCTATAGCGCCCTTATTCAACTTCATCATTGTTGGTGACTTCAATCACTCTCTGCCACAACGACCTCATTCCAAGATTGTCTTGTCACCAATATTCTTCCATGTGTAATAAAGACATTGGTGTTTATGTTTTATGCAATTAGAACTCTAGTGTTATTCCATGTTATTTGGGTTTATGGTGGATAATACACATTATTCTGATTAGTGGGTTCACTTATTACTTGTTTGTCCATTTAGGGTTTTCTCATTACTTGTTTGATGAAATATGTGTATTGGTTTTGTATGCACATAAAGAACTAATTTGTGACAATGTTAAGCAATTTGAGGATTTGTAGCAACGTGATAATGTGGTGGATGATTTGAACATTAGTTAGATATAAGGTGTGTGTGGTTCCTTTGGGACAATGATAGTTGACAACATTAGTCAATTTAGATAGTTGACAAATTTATATACAATCTTAAGTACGTTGAAACTAAAATTTTAGAAAGTATAACATTAGGCAATTTATATCGAATATTTTTAAATTAATTGAGACTTAAATTAAAGATTAAAAACATATTAGGTACCTATACAATATTGGATATTAATTTAAATATCTTTTAGGTATCCATAATTTTAGACCTTTATTATAATTAGTAAATTTATGTTAGCATAATTAAATAATATACAAATTGTTAGTTACACAATATTAGACAATAAGAATTTAAATTAGAAATATATAAGATTAGTGGTATTAGTCAATTTAGAAGATTTAGATTAAGAATTAAAATTTATAATTAAAATATACTTTTATTACACTATAAGTTAGTAATAATTAAATGAATATTTTAATTATTATTAATTTAATTTTTGTGGTCTTGACATACTTAATTACATGTGTATATCATATTATTGATTTTATATATATGGTTTTAACTAAGCATACTTATATGCTTAGTTATCTCGAAGAGTTATGTTATAATTGTTAGGAATATTGATCGATTGTGAGTAAATCATAGTTTTCCATTTAAGATCGAATACAATGGTTACACAAATAATTATAATCATTGTATTAAATATTGAATTGTTCGTTTAGTCAATTTGGAAAGATATATAAATTTTGACAATAAGACTGAAGTCAAGATTGATAATCTAGGTTTTACCTTGGTTAACCTAAACAAGGTAGGTTTTAAAGATAAGTCATTCATCTGACAGATCAAGAAAAATAAGTGTTTTATGTTATTGATTTTGGTAACAAAAATTGGTCATTTGTTCTACAAGGAAAACAAATGCATGGTACTAACAACCATGAAGTTCCAACATTGATATTTATGATACTACTTCCTTCTCCACACGAATGCCTAGGTTGAATGTGGACAATGATGATATACATACTACACGTGATGACCATGATGAAGGATTGTGGGAGAATATTAAACTTAAAATTAGTTATGTGATTAATAAATAGTATTCATATGTATTATATTATTAATTATTATGTGTATAATATTTTTTGTTATTTTAATAATTAACATGATTGATTTTTCTTTTTATGGACCTATGGATGGCACATTTAGGAGATGTAGAGTAGAGTCAACCTACCAAGAAGAGGGTTAGGTAATCGACCACATTGAAATACTTGATTGGTGGCCAAAACAAAGGCAAAAAGAACGTTGACATTAACATGGAGGCAAGGTTTTCTTATAGGTCGACTAAAAAATGATTTTACACTTTTGTAGCCTTGACTTGGAAAAGCAAGACTTTGATTACCTATGACAATTGAGACCATGTTCTAGAGAGTGTGAAGAACAAAATATGGCAAACTATCACAGTATGAAACCATAAACTTTGTGTATTTAATGATTATTAATTAATTATGGAACATTTACTAACAAAATTGTTGTAGCTCACTTATGACATTCCCAAGGTTGACTAGTTGAGGAATAAGTATATTTCTTATGCGGAGAAGTGTTGAAGGGGTTTTAAGAGTCAACTCAACAGTCACTACATCTTTGGTGAAATAAAAAGAGGACACTTGTGTTTCTTATCAATATCTTGATCAAGAGACCTAACAAATGTTCCATAAGAGCTGACTCACGGAAGATTATTTTAGTAATTAAGTGAACTCACTAGTATAATTATTTATTTACATATATGTATTATTATTACTAATCAACTATGTGTTTCTATTATGTATATAATAGAAAAAGAGGAACCAAGCACAAAATTTACAGGCGCTTAATATCTACATCCACGTATTGTCTCATGAGGGATATGATAAGCTTGAGGTCAATACGATGAAGGAGGCTTCTACTTCTATTGGTGATGGATCAAAGATCAATTAATAGAGTCAACCCATTTGTCATGCCAAATGGAAAACAACTCAACAGAGGAAATCAAGAGAGTACATGAATATGGCAACTCAAGAAATAGTAAGGAAGATTGTAAGTATCATCTTTTTCATATGTTGGATCTAATCATGGATTACAAACATATTTATTTAAATTATTGTGTTGTATGGCGATTTAAATAGAGGTGACAAAATGGGTCAGTCTGACCTATTTAGGCTCAGCCTACCATCAACCTGTCAAAAATGGGTTGGGCCAAGCTAACTTTCCAAATAAAAACAGTTTGACACCTTGGCCACCCCACCTAAGAGCAGGTTGGCAAGCCAATGAGTCATCCTACATTAAAAAAAAAAATTTGAAATGAGTCATGAGGAATGGTAAAAGAAGACAAATACTCCATCTCTATTTACTTCTCGACGAGACCAAATCAATTAATCAAACATACAAGCAAAAAAGAAAGTTGCGAGGAAGTGATGGCACCTTGAGATCTTTCAGGTATATATGTAATTAGTACATTTGCAATTGTTAGGTAGAGATTGAATGTTTCAGATCTAAAAATGTATATTTTATATCTAATTTATTAAGATAAAATACAAGTTATTTGATTCTTATGTGATAGTTTTGAATTACTACTAATTAAGTAAATGCACAATTAAATGATTATTAAATTAATAATTTTGGTTATTAAAATTGTAGTAATTAGCGAAACTGGTTTTTAATCATGAAAAGATGACAAAATGATTCATGAAATTGTAAATAATGAATCAATTTATTAACAAGATTTAACATCGATCAGCACATAACTAGGTTCTTTAAGTATGCTAACATAGATTTGATTTCCTAATTGTGCTTTGATAAAAGACTTTGTTATTAGAAAAGAAAAAACTATTTTGGTGACTGCTTTGCTTTAAAAGAAACTATTTTTTTTTTAATGTTCATTGAGAAATATTGTTGGCTCACCGCAAAT